TCATTCCGGAGGTCCTTTCTTAACCTGAAACTGTTCTTAACCTGAGGTACCACTTTAGCTAATGGGGCCTTCCGCTACCGTTGCACCGCTGCCGCGCGATTTCTGTTCTCATCCTGAGGTAAAGTTCTTAACCCGAGGTACTACTTCTGGGTTAGCGGAGCCTGTAACCTGAAGTGTTTGTAACCCGAAGCGTTTGTAACCCGAGGTACCACTGTACATGCCACAGCTTGATGCCTGTAGCATGATATAGTGAGACAGCACTTGGAATAATGTGTACCTCAAATGCAATGCTGTAGAGTTGCGAAAGGACAACCAAAATGATTAAGAGGTCGAAGCAACTCTTCTGTGTAGAAGAGGTGCAACACTTGGGGCTTTTTAGTTCAGAAAAGAGACAAGGCGGGACATGACAGAGATGTATGAGCTTGTGCATGGAGCAGAGAAAGTGCTCTTCCCCTCTCATAGCTTTAGAACCCTGGACCATCTAAGGAAAATGAATGTTGAAAGATTCAGGACAAAGGAATGCCCTAACTTCACACAGGGGCATAGTGAAACTATGGCATTTGTTTCCACAAGAGGCAGTGATGGCGGCATATTTTGATATCTTCAAGAGACAGATTAGACAAATTTGTGAAGGCAAAAGCTACTGATGACTCTTAGCTAGAATTGCTGTGTTGTATCTCTGAAGTCAGAGGCTGTATGCCTCTAAATACCACTTGCTGGAAATCACAAATGAGGAGAGATTTGTTGCACTTAGGTCCTGCTGCTGGGCTTTCCATGGGCAGGCAGTTGGCCGTTGTGAGAACAAGATGCACGACTAGGTGGGTCTTTGGCTGGATCCAGGAAGTTTCTTCTTATGTTCTTATGGCAGCCCCACCCCATACAAGGAATGGGGGACGCCTTGCTCTAGGGACAGCTGGTATTTGTCTTCCCTGTTTTGTTTCCATTGCAGCTGGAGCAGGGGAGCACACAGCTTTTTTTTTATAATAAGAAAACACCTATATTTAGAAAAGAAATGAAGACGCAAATGACCCGGAAGGATCGCAAAATGATATGGCACTGCGTCAAGTAGCTTTGCAGGTACTCTGGAGGGTGGGACTTGAACCAATGGCTTCAAGTTGCAAGAAGGAAGATTCCAACTAAATATTCAGAAACAAATTTCTGACAGAGCTGTTCAGCAGTGGAACAGACTCCCACAAGAGGGTGGACTCTCCTTCCTTGGAGGTTTTTAAGCAGAGGCTGGATGGCCATCTGTCATGGATGCTTTAGCTGAGATTTCTGCATAGATGTCCTTTGGGGTCCCTTCCAACTCTATGATTCTGTGATTCAGCTTAGCCATGTAAAATTGCTCCAGGGCTCTCAGCACAGAAATCAGGCATGGCCTCCAAATTTACAGTGGAGCTTTGGTTCTGACTTTAGTAATGGGTTGCTAAGTATTGGTTTGGCTCTTCGACATATCATCTGTCTTTTCAGCACTCCTTTGTTTGTGTGTTAATTATTATGAATATTTACGTCCTATCTTTCAGTGAATGCCCAAGGGAGGCTAGCAAAAATAATATATTTCAAAATGAAACAAATGGAATAAGTCCCACAAAACTCTACTGTCGGAGTTCACATAGTGAATGCGGTGGGACTTGCATTCTGTGCTAAGGAACAGCAGTGGCGGGCCTTGGGGTCTCAAATTTCTGTGGCGCCCTGTGCAACACCAACATCCCCCCCGCCTCTTGCGTTCACTTCAAAATTATAGTTGTGCCATCTCCGAGGCTCTGCTGCACTCCCCTAAAACTGCCTCTGGGAATAGAGTGTTTGCCTATTGCTTGATGGTGTTATTTTGCTCTCCTGTTTCACTCATTCTCTCTGCAATATTCACATCCCAGTTCTAACCAATGCGACATAAGAGCTGCTGCCACCCACATCTAAAGCATGGGCTGCGTCTCTTACATGTGTGTGCAAAGGTGTGTGCCTGTAGCAACTTGCATATGAGTTTGCAGCGTTCTTGGGCACCGCAGACCTACTCTATAAAAAATATATATAATTGCTTGCAAATCAGCACTTGCTTGGTGAGTGGTTTTCTGTAGCCTTGCAAATTATTACCCTTCTAACAAATGTATAGAAACAGGGCTTGCTTGCTCCTGCCGGAGTCAGTGGGTCAGTTGAATATTTGGATGCATGCCAGTGCCTCACAGACCCATGGGATCTGCACCACGGTGCAAGTTGATTGAACACTAGTGGTGCATAAATACCCAACCAAGCTGGGAGATCTGAATATGTAGACAATCATGAGGGTGATTATTAGGCGAGCCAAGTCAGCTGCCGGATCCAGAGCAATGGTGGTGCTGTTTGGGTCAGAGGTGCAGCGGCACTCTTACTTTTGTTTAATGCGAAATCCAAGTAGCGGCAGTGAGTAGTGCAGATGCAGCCAAAGCACACGGAGGAGATTAATGTTTCATGACATGATGGTCATAGGTCAAATGTGAGACTTTGCTACAAATTTAAGGGCAAGCACCTTGCCAGTGGTACAAAGCAGCCCAAGCAAAGCCTGAAACCGGCAGTATCTATTTTGGGAACGCCCAGGCTAGAGATCGCGCATGAAAGGGGCTTTAAATCCCATCCCCTGCCCCCAGTTTTCATGAAGTGTGCCACAAACGGCTCATTTTTTTATTTGCAAGAGAGAGAGAGACCCCAAATCATAAATACCTTATTGGAATTCTGAAAACTGACCCTTAGTAACTGTGCAGTCAACATGAAGTGCAACTGACTATAACTGTGAAATTCTAAGTTGCAGGCATTGGTTATTGTGTACACTGATCATGTCTTCAATAATGTGTTGAGTTATTGTTGTATTTTTCGATGGTTTTAACACTGAGCGCCATTAAAGATGTGGACTGGAAGGCAGAACGTGAATGCAAAAACAAGCAATGTAAAGACATTAATATTTTGTTGTCTTGCAAGAGCTAACCAGACATCGAAGGTATATATCTGTCAAGTGTGAAAACCCTGTTGAATTGAATGGACTGTGAATCTACTGAGATCAAGCAGTGCTGCCATACACTGGTTTTATTTTGTTTTTTGTATTATTGATAGAATTAAGTGAAACTCAGTGAGATGAAAGCTGCAGAAACACAGATCACCCATTAAAAGCCCTGGAGAATAAAAATGACTTAAGCAAATGTCCGAAAAATAACAATGTCATAGTGTACCGCAGTTCTGTGTCCCCTTCCCCAATCACCATCTAACCTGTGAAGGAGGGCTTTCAAAGCAGATCTTAAAGATTAGGACTCTTCATGTGGGAGAAGGTGGCGCTTTGGTTCCAAGCCATTTAGGGCCGTAAAGTTACAAAAAGCATCACCTTGAATTGTGCCCATATTAAAAAACAAACAGGTCAGATCTTCAGACATGCACCTTCCAGATAATAATATAGCTGCCATGTTCTGTGCCAACTGCATTTTCTGAACCAGTTTTCTAGAGCGGTCCCAGGTGTAATGCATTGCAGTAGTTGTGAGACTATCTCTGTTTCTTGTGATGAGACAAAACATTCAGAAGAGGATGGGGCCATAAGCAAATAAACTTGCTTGAAATTCCAGTTCCTTGTGGGGACAGTGAGAGGACAGGATGAGTAAGTCACACCAGGCTGTGGAAATAGGCCTGTAAGGAAGAAAGGTCTGTCCACCTTCACAGAAAATGCCAAGCGAATACACACATAAGACACACAGTCACACCCCATGCAGGAATTTAAGCTATGATACAGTAGCCAGGAATAGGTTTTTGTGTCTCCTTTCATATTCAGAAAGTTTTAATGAGTCTAATTATACTATTCTGAAAAGCAAAAGAAAAGGTCAGACATGAACCTCCCAAATTTCAGCTCTTCTAAACCCTGTTGATTTCAACATGAGCATTATGACATGGGTCATCCTTTCCCACTGAAATCCAAGGGGCTTTAAAAGTGCTTCACCGGATTGTACCTTTGAATATTTCTTAAGTGGAAAGGAGAGGATCTGTCTCATCAGTGCCTTCAGGAAGAGTACACGAAAAGCTGCTGTTTTTGCCAGACCTTTGCTTTTTAAGTTACTGTTCTGAGATGCCGCCTTCTATCCTGATCAAAATGTTTTACTGTTTTAAATGTGGATTTTCTTTAAGACAATGATCCCCGCCCCCCCAATTACTGCAAGTCACATTGAGGACACTGTAGAATAGTGGAGTGTAAAGTTTCAGCTGTCATTCTATCAGGGCCGGCCCGCCCATGAGACAAAGCGAGGCAAATGCCTCAGGTGGCAAGATCCACAGGGGCAGCAGATCCCAGTGTAGATATTTACTCCCCTCTTCTTCCTGATGCAGGCTCTTCACTTTCTTCCGTGGCGGCATGGGGGTGCCATTTTGCGGTTTGCCTCAGGTGCTAAAATATCTTGGGCCAGCCTTGAATCCTATACACACTTAGTTGGGAGTAAGCTTGCATTGAATGACTTTGGCAATTTTGAGTAAAGTCAATGCTGTGGATTCTTATGAAACCACAGTATTCTGTGTATGTTGTTTATAGTTAATGGTTTTTATGATTTATTATTATGACCTATGGATAACACAGTAAGTTCCAGGATGAATAGCACTGGGAGGAGGCGCATGGTATTGTCCAGTCTGAGTGCTCAGACATTAATAAACTAACATGTATAAATGGCTTTCTCTTTAAAAAGCTGAAAGCTAAAACAGGGTTCAGATCAGTAACAGAGCTCATGCAGAAGCATCAAGTTCCGATCCCTAGCAAAATCCTTCCCCAACTGGGTGCCCTCCAGATGTTTTTGCTACATCTCCCATCAGTCCCAGCCAGCATGGTTACATGCTCTGGGGCTGATGGGAGTTCTAGCCCCCAACACCTAAAGAGCACCAACTTGGGGGAGGCTGTCCTGGCACCTCCTGTGATCAGTGCTGTAGCATAGGGGAGTCACAGGGGCGAATGCACCGGGGGCAAAATTGTTAGGAGTGCAACATTTCAACACCCAGTGCTGCCTCAAGACAGCTGTGCTCTCTGCCACTGGGCTCCACTGAAAACAGCTTCTCCATGCGAACCAGGAAGTGACCTCTCCAGACAGCAGAACAACTCTTCTTTTCTTATCTCTGTGTCTGCGATCTCGTGGGTGGCGCAGACGCTGTTAGGCAGTTGAATGTGCATGTGTACTCTGTCTGTTTCCCTCCCTTCCACACGGCCCCGGGCACTGGCAACCCACACTATGCCACTGCCTGCGACAAAGGAACTTGGTAGCAGGACTGGAGAAATACCTCTCCTTGAGGCCCAGGAAAGCTGCTGGTGTTCAGAGCAGATGGGACAGCCAAGCCAAGAGGACCACTACTCAGATTCAGCATAATGCAGATGGCTTAAAAACACAGCACCATTACACCACCCCTCCTCCCAGTATAAAACAAGAAAAATCTAATAATTGAAAGAACAGTATAAAACCTGCTATACCTAGCCAGCAAAGGAGTTTGGTATTTTTAATGAAGATAAAAAGCCTTGGATTTTTATTTTTATTGTTGTTGTTTAGTCATTAACCTGGCAACAGAAACTGCTTAACGGTATCCCCGTCCTCCATGTCTCTGGAAGTACTGTGTGTGCTTCTCCATCCCCCACCCCACCCCACAAAAAAGGCCTTGCTCAGAGACATGAAACCCGACGAAACCAGAAGTACAAGGTACAGAATTAGCAGAAGGGGAGACCCCCCAGGAAATGGCATCTCTCTCAGACCAATCGGCTTGTGACAGCTGGAGTTCCCAGAACCTGCTCAGGGGAGGCCAAAGGACCCCCCAACCAGCTAGCCTGGGCTTTGTCCCTTGTCCTGTAACAAACTGGGAAATGAAAGGAGCAGCAGCCTTCTGTGGGTTTCCACAGAATAGTCCCCACAGCTGGGCAAAATGACATCTTGATCTTTCAGCATGATTCATCCAAATTCTGAGTAATAGCATAGGGTGGCTTATTAACTGGGCCTGATTTTTCCTCACTGCTGCAGCAGGCCTCAAAGACCTGAACAGGAAACTGAAATGTCTTTATTAAGGGTGGGGACATTCCCAAGGATGGAAGAACCTCCTCCCTTTCAGGCCTTTCCTTAGCTGCAAGACTATTCCTGCTTCATCTTTGCAGTACTGATGAGAAGATTTATTCAGCGAGACAGCGGCAGCTTATCCCCTCCTTTTGTTTCTGACATCACTGCAGTCTCCATAGGAACCAGATGTGATGTAACTTCTGGATACTCCGGGGGAAATCAGATGGGCTTCTTAGGCCAGAGGATCCTGTTTCCATTAACAAATGGGAGCCAAGAAGAGAAACTCCAGAGGACTGTCTGGTGTGGATATGGGGACATCTGGAGTTCCCCTCTGTATCTGTCTAGTGTGCATCGCCATAGAATCCTGACATGCTCAAATAGATTCCTCCTGCATAAATTGTATCCAAGCAAAATCCTGTGTCCATATGGAATAGAGAGGCATTTATGCAATAAATGCTCTTTAGCTGATGGCCTAAGCAGGGCGGAAGAATAATTACATATGCTTGCCCCATTTAATCGAGAAATGCACAGCCTTGTTGTCCATACTAAACAAGTGTTAACATGTCTCGCTAGGTGCTCTTTAACCTGATGTTTTGCAGATCTTACTCCAGATGTTCCGGCTAGCAATGTAGCCTGCTAGGGGTATGGATCTACCTTCCCACACCCCCAACGCTCTTCTGTTTCTTTTCAGCCACTGCAAGCAAATAGATCAAAGTGGGTCGAGCTATTTAATTGGTCGAGGTGCTGCAAGTGCTCAGTAGTGATTAACCCAGTCATTGCCACATTTCCCCCTTTGCAAATCACTCACTTCACACAACCAGGGACAGCTGCGCTAGGCTGCATGAGAAAGGGGATGTGGGCAATGGGGAGAATTGGTTTGAGAAATGCGGCAGATAGCTGCATCGCCTTCGTGAGTTGTTATGTGTGCTCCCCCTATTTCCTTGCGTGCTGTTGTATCATCACCACTCGGTCACAAAGGCCTTGCCAGCTCTGGGCAGCGCGCAAGGAGTTAAAGCACCACAATCACAGCCCTGCCTTACTTACTAGTGGAACTGAGCCCTTACCCTCCATACAAATCATCTGGTAATAGGTTTAGTGTCGTGGCACTGGAGGCCAGGCTAAGCAGCTTTATAGCAGGGAGAGCGCACCATCCGAGCAGCGACAGCATGCCTAGCGCACGGAGGAGGGCTCCCCCGGCTTGTCAACTAAATCTTCCCAAACCATAAAGGCCCCTGTGTAATCTGCTGAGAGGATAAAAGCTGCAGGGTGGTCGCCGGGCTGGTGACATCGTTTCACAAACAGCCGTGTGTGCACGCTGGCATTTTTTTGAGGCTGCCAGTGCGGTGCTGTCGGTTGCAGAATCTGAAGGAGGAGTAGGCTGGGTGGACTGCGAGGCTGCTGGAAGGAGAAGCCCGGGGTGGAGCAGGTTGAGGCTGGGTGGGATGGCTGCTGCACAGGCATTTCTGCTCAGGTGCAGAGAGGAAACTCACAGACTGGCCCAGCCGCCAGCCTCCTCCCTGCCACTGCCCCACCTACAGGCCACAAAGCCAATGAAAAGAAGGCAACTGCCCCAGAAAACAGCTGCATCTCATCTCAAGAAACACTCTGGACTGATTGAAGGTGGCTGGCAAGAGTGATTGGGTGCTTCTACTTTGTCTGCAGCAGTGGACATGTACACTTGCCTGGTATCCTCTGCAAGAAAAGTGGGGCAGAGCTATCCAGGCTTGCCACTCTTGCCCCAACACCCAGACCAGATTCTATTCTACTGTGGCACAGAGCTGCTCTGAAGGTTTGCCTAGGAGGGTGTCCTCACGGGGCTATTCAGTGACCCTTGCCTGCCCATCAACTCTTCCGCACTCTCTTTGCAGGTCACGGGTGCAGCATCTGCTTCCCTAGTGCAGGAGCATCTGCCAGATCAGCCACTGCAACATAGTGGGCTAAGAGCTAGCTAAGTGTATACTTGTCTGCTACAAGGATGAAGACCCTCAGCCCTAAGCCATTAAACCCAAAGTCCCCAGATCTCAGCTCCATCAGGAACAGCGGCCTCAGCCAAGCTGCTATTTCTTTGCCTCAACCATTTCATCTGTAACATGGGTATAATACTACTGACCTAGCTTACAGGGTTATCATGCAGAAATAATGAGGCAATGGGTATGAAGCAATCGGGAAAAGCACTTCATAAATACTAAGCATGTCAAGGCTTCAGGGAAGCTATTCCTCCCCTGGCTGCAGCAAGAACATGGAAAACAAGGTAGAGTCCTTTTTTAAAAATGAGTTTTATTCAATCCTAATAAAAAGGTAAAGGACCCCTGACAGTTAAGTCCAGACACAGACAACTCTGGGGTTGCTGTGCTCATCTCGCTTTAGAGGCCGAAGGAGCTGGCATTTGTCTGCAGACAGTTTTTCCAGGTCATGTGGCCAGCATGACTAAGCCACTTCTGGCGCAACAGAACACCGAAACCAAAGCAGCACATGGAAACACTATTTACCTTCTTGCTGGAGCAGTACCTGTTTATCTACTTGCACTTTTTGGCGTGCTTTCGAACTACTAGGTTGACAGGAGCTGGGACCCAGCAACGGGAGCTGACCCCATTGCTGCGATTCGAACCGCCGACCTTCTGATCGGCAAGCCCAAGAGGCTGTGTGGTTTAGACCACAGCGCCACCTGCGTCCCTTCAATCCTAATAGCAAGAGACAAAAGAAAGCAACAAGCCTTGACAATGGCATTGCTCCAAACTGGGCTCCTTCTCCCTCCTTCCTAGCAAGAGCATCTTCCCTTATGGTGGCCACTCATGGTCTAATGTCTTTGAGTCCTTTGTTCCTGTACTCTTAATGAATTCCATGTTCTGGGAGAAGGGGGATCAGAAATACTCTCCAGTGACGTGTCATCTGGCTGCCCTGCCTCAGTCATCGTCTCCGTCCCCCCCCGGTCTTCTAACACGTCCCAACTTTTCTGTTTGTCTCTCTCTCAGCTGTGACTTTCCTCAAACCCCTTAAAGCCCTGCTGTAAATCAAGGCTGTCTCCCTCTTCTCCTGCAGTGTCACCACCATTCCTCCACCATTCCTCCTCCTCCATCTCACCCTCTTGAGTCCGATCCCTGACAAAGCACATGGATCACCACAAGGATCCTCTCAGCAGGGGTCACCACAGCCAAGGTATTAGGGTTTCTACTTGAGGGTGCTCTTAGATCCATCTTTGACACTAGAGACCCAACTGACCTCAGTTGCAAGGCACACCTACTGCCAACTTCAGCTGGTATATCAGCTACAACCATACCATGGGATCCATGTGTGGCACTCTCAAGACTGGGCTGCAGTAACAAGCTCTGTGAAGGGCAATCCTTGAGGATGGTTTGGAAGCTGTAGCTACTGTACATTGCTGCCACTATATATACACACACAGTGCCAGAGCTGAGATATTTGGACAGGCTTCCAGTTAGCTATTGGGCCAAGGAGACAAGTTTAAGGTGCTGTTTTTCACCTATTAAAGCCCTGAACACAATTGGGGCCAGGCAGTCTGTGAGACTGACTTATGTTCAGTCAGCCTAGGTCACTGTGACCTACTGCTGGGGCCTGGCAGTGCCACAACCTGCTAGGAGTTTGCTTGGCTAAGGCTCAGAGAAGGGCCTTTTTCACTACAGAATCCATTTGGAGGAAGACTCCCGATGGAGTTCATGTGAGCACCAATGAGGGTGTGCTTTTGATAGCTGGCTTACTACCGAGAAATATAAGCAGCTGCATTATACCCGTCTAAGCCACTGGCCAATCTCATCTAGCATTTAAAAAAGAGCAAATTAAATTGAAATCAGCTGCGCATTGAGTCTGGGATCTTCAGTATACAAATCACATGCTCCACTACTGAGCTATGACCCTTCCTAGGGTTGCCATACATCTGGAATTTCCTGGACGTAGCCAGAATACTGCAGTCGGAAGCAGTAAAATTTGGACATATGGCAACCCACGTCACAGAAGCAGTTTTGGGCGATTTTCCTTTCAGTTAGCTCAAAAACTCATTGTTTTGCATTTTTGCCAAAAAAGCTGAACAACTTTGGCCCAAAAGGGGGGGGGGGGGGAGACAGAAAGCTCAACAACTTTTGTGTCTGGATTTTCACTTTTTGAAATATGGCAACCCTAACCCAGCCACAAACAACTACCAGAGACTAGAAAGTGGCCCAATAGCAATGCTTTTATGTAACCATGCATTCAGCTTGTGGTACTACTAACACGATTGGGCCATCTGGACTTCTTTCCTCCATCCTTGTCTACAGATAACTCTCTGGGATGGCACGGGGGGGACTATTATAAACCGATTCTGGATCGTATTAAGGCAGATATGGAAGATCCTTCTTGGATGCATGGCTGTTAACTGGATTGCATTGCCCAGGAGGTTCTGTAGGGCATATCGCTCTTTGCACACTCCCCAGTGCACTCATGCTGTGGCCCCTAAACCAAAGCTCATGGGGCCACAACCTCCTGTCGCGGGTGCAGAGTGTGAGCAGAGGAACTTGGGTCCTGCAGTCAAGTCCAAAACTGTCAGTTTCAGGGGTTTGAAGGAAGCTGCTTGCCAGTCTAATGGGGCCAGACAGGAACCTCATCCAGGGCAGGCAAGGGCCAAGCCCCATTAGCATAAATAATTGTCAGGGACAGTTCCATTCAGCAAACTGAGGCAATTGCCTCATGCAGCAGGAACAGGGGTGTGTGTGTGTGTGTGGATTAACCCTCACTTGCCTTGCGGGCCACACCACCTGCCCAGCTCTTGCGGGGCTCTCCCATCTCCATGTCTCACCCTGATGAAAAAGAGGGGCATTCTGGGAAAGATGGCTTACAAGAACACCTGTGCTGCTGCTGCGGCTTTCCCATGGAGGCTAGAAATTCTCTTTCAAACCTAGTTTAAAGTCAAATCATTTAAATGTTTTAAGCTAAATTTAAAACAGAATCTCTGGCTGCCTCGGAAAAGGGACAGAGGCACTGGGCCACCTCATCTAAAATGCCTCGCTCTGAGGATTTGTTTTTGTTTTTTAGAGCTTTGCAGTCCTGTGTTTATTGGGGCTGACTTCTGAATGAACAAGCATAGTATGTGCAACTTTCTAAGGGTTTGGTGCTATATATATATATATATATATACGCGCAAAAAGTGCATTTTGTTGCAAAGTCTTTGTGGCCGCAACAGAGAATGGGCAGAGAGAAGAAGGGGGTTGGGAATGAAGCTGCAAAACCCCGTGCCAGGCATCCCAACTGCATCACAATTCACTGAGCAGCTGATGGGCTCTTTCTTGCGGCTGTCTCTCTTCTCTGTTGTCAGGAGACACATGTGCAGACCTGTTCTTCAAGGAGAAAAATATTGTAATTACACTCAGCTGTCAACAAACTGCATCCACTTAAGCGGCAAGCGCTGCTCAATATGCAGTGTTCAGGGCCCAGCCTTCTCTTGGCCCCTTCACCTCCAGATACCACCCAGAACCTCAGTGCTTCCCTTGCACTTTCTTCCAGTAATTAAGGAAGAAATCTGAAATTTCCTCTCTCTTTGATTTGTACCTCAGCAGAAGGAATGTAGAACCTTTGTCAGCCTGAGGCCTGCGTTACCTTGGTCGAAAGCTGGGGCAAGGGGGCATGTTCTAGCAGTAGGTGGGCTAAGACCCCAGTGTAGTAGGGCCAGGCCTGCACACAGCTACAAACACACGCTATGTATGTGTTTGGCACACACTATGTCTCTCTCTTTCTCTGTCACATAGACTGCCACTATTTTTTCCCTTCATGCTTAGTCCTTCCCCAAGCCTTTAGCTGATCTGCACCAATCACCTGAGGAACAGGGGAGGTATAATTTCCACCCCCATCCTT